TATATCACAAAAATCCTTTTAACCCCGAAGAAGTAGGCAGAGGTGCACATTGCCTCCGGCACCTAATGCCACTGTAGATTGTAACACCCACTTATCACTATTTATGTTATAAGTCCCATGTAATAGGGTGTCTATTGCCATACACCGGGCACAATTGCAGACCGGAGTCTGATGTATTTAAGACAATTCTCAGTAATAGCACGGATGCTATTACTGAGAGTTGTCTTAAATACTTTGCCCGACCCGGGAATCCAACGCGAGACCCCTTGCCCAGCAGTCGCACTTGCGACCTCTCAGCCAACGAGCAGGCAGCAATATTATTAGTTATTGTTTATTTTCAAACGAAACTGGAAAATAACAGTAGCATTTGCACCATCGTGGATTATCAGACACAACCGTGATGTTGTATGTATGTACTGTGAGAGTACAGTGACAGGATTATCATTCAAAGGTAGATATTATGTAAATAGGATTATTACTATCTCCTTGTCTTTGTAAAAGAGGAAATGGATGGCCGCGCTCTAGGGCGCCCGTGTGTGATAAATTCCTTGGCGCCCTCAAGTTCATATTTAAATTAAACATTATTTATTGTGGATCACAGGTCGTACATAATGTAGTTTTTAAATGTATACAATTAAGTAGGTCAGCCTCCTTATATCCTATATCCTTCCTTCCAAATAATTATCTATTTAAAAAGGTGTTATTATGTGAGTAAAAATAATAGTAAGTATCATATAATGAGCTTGTATTTGAGTCGCTTCGACGACGCGACGTTTCGAAATCTTCTTCCTAATGTTTGATACCCCGGTAACCCCGGTATCACCTGGCGCCCGGGCGCATCAAATAATCTACACTGTAGGTTAAAAAGGTCCCTGTAAATGGAGGCTATGTATTATGTACCAATTGGTTTATGCCATCAAACAGGTTATATGGTTCGTGGTGTTTGAATTGCGAATGGGCGCCTCAGAAAGAGTTGCATATTATGCGTATATTGTAAAATATTATGTGTCTATGTATGTAGTTAACAAGGGTTGTCTAACAATAAGCATCACTTATTAATGGAAAATTGGCAAAGGTTATTAAAAAAGTCGTTAAAAATATTGCAGTTTTCACTTTTATTTTATACTAGCTTTTACCTGCGGCGTCGCTCGCGTCACAAAAGGATAAAAAGCCAATGTGACATATACCAATACACACAGCGCCATCTAAGTATACCAATACTTTTGTTTTCCCTCGGGAATATCAATTTTTTCCGGGGTAAAAAGTACCCTATTAATTAATCCGGACTTCTAACTATACATCTGCAAAAATTCAAAGCAATCAGTTAAGTAGTTATGGCGTGAAAGCGAAACAAACAAACAAACTCACTTTCCGATTTATAATATTAGTGAGGATTAAGCATACATAATCTAATTTAAGACTGTAAACGTAAAAAAAACTTTTTGAAATCAAGTTTCGTAGTCTCTACTACGAAACCAGAAACATAATTATGTTTTTAGAATACATTGGGAACTGGCAACACACGCCTTTTGACGGAGGTGCAGAGTTGGGCTCACAAACTTACACACACATACAGTACAGTTAGGCATATAAAGTTACAAACTAGCTGTGACATCACAACAATTTGACGTTGTTATTTTCATAACCTGAAGCGTATACAATCGTATAAGACAAAACTTTTTGACAGTGTGGTCTCTTCTTGGCTATATATTTCACGTGAAAACAATATTGTTGGTCGGGTGTAAATAACCTAAATAATTTTCTCATAATTATGTAGGTATATGAGACGTAGGATGTTGTATGGTCGAGATTAACTTTAATCTGCGACGACCCAATACATCGAAGAGGTCAGCGGTGCTAACTTGTCGAACTTGTGAACATCGATTAATATTTACTGCAAAAATGCAGTATGTTTAGTTATCTGAGAGACGTACTTTATTTTTATCATCAAATGTATACAACCGCCTTGTTTGCGCAAGGCTGAATGAATTGTTTGACTAAAAACCACCCCGACTGATGATGATCATGATGATGATCACTGATGTGGGTACTACGAACTTAGCCTCAAGATGCCTAAAACATTTAATGAACACGATGAGAATAATGCATTTTAAAATAACAAGGTTGTATGTTCATTCAATTCAATGTAAACTGTATTCAGTTTTCTTGCAGATGCGTATACTTTCGTTTTTATCTATTGTACGTAGATCGAAATGATTGTATTTTGGACAAACTAATTGTTTTTTTTTTACATAATCTTTAAATGACATGTTTAATCCCAGATGTACCGAAATAATACCCAATATCATTCAAAGAAAATTATATATGTATATAAATGTATATTATGCATCGTGTACAGGGGAGGCTATAATACCTCTAATTGTGTACCAAAATTATAAAATTGTAATGCCTGTTTTTATCACTATACATACATAATATGAATTTGTAAAATTCATAAACAATAATTAAGTAATGCTGATCTACGTACGAGGTGACTTTACATCGCCCAACAGTTCGTGAGATATAACATGAGTCAATTTATGTGACGCAGCGTGCTTGCACCGTCCGAGCCTACGCTATGCCTAGACAGCTCCGGGTTGCCAAGCAACCGGCCACTGCGATGTGCAGCCTCACGGATGTTTTTATCAGCGTGTTGCATAACGCCAGCGGTCATTGACCAGCAGCGCAGTACGCGAGTACTGTCCTTCCCCCCCCCCCGCCCCCGCGACTTATGAAGCTGTCCCTCCATATCGTCACGATAGGTTAAGGTCGCCACAGATGAGACTTCTTGTCGCGTGACAAATAGATCAAGTTCAGGACGTCAGCTGACAGCTTAACATGTCATACATCAAACATCAGACGCGTACGACTCGACTACGTCATTTCCGACATTTCTACTGTATCTAGGTGCTCGATATTTTTTGTCACGTGTTCTAAATAATCATTGTTACCGTTTATAATATCATGAATAATGGAATCTCAATTATTTATTGCATTGATTTATATAACATGTTATCATTCAGGAACTTTAAATTAGCACACCTACTTATGACTACTTATGACACAAGTCTAACAAAGTTTAACACGTCATTACATTTTTATATTTGGATACTAGATTAACGTCAGAGCTGATTCGCTAAATAAAACACCCATTTAACATTATTAAGTGGCATTCGAACTAATTTATACATACATAAAATATTAGATAGTGGAGAGTGCGTCAGGTTCGTCTAAGCTAGCCTTTGCACATATTTGCAATAACTTCCGAGTAAGAAACTAATGGTTTCTATAAATGCAACACAACCGACGCAGCCTGACGCTCCAACGCTACACACATGCAGACAGGCAGAGAAAATACCAATAGATATAAACATTTAAACTCTGGCACAAGCGAAATTTTATTGAACTATTAGGAATGGCTTTAGTACATAAAGTCTAGAATAAAATATTGTTATAATCATACTTCCCGACTTCCTTATGCTTGGTAGACGAAGGACGAATATTCTAGACAAGTTTGCTCTTCATTTAATTAAGATGTAAACAAATCAAGATTTTCCTAAGTTCCCACGCTCAACGTCGCGTGTCGACATTGCGATTTATTTCCAAAAAATAGAACTTAGTGTATGTACCTCTATATGTAGACTCACGTTTAAAACATTGAGACAACTAACTTAACAGAAAGTCACCCCTTTTCTGAAGTCGTGCTTAGTTTCCTGTCCATGACATTCTATTGGGTATATATGTATGATAGTCTAATAAAATTTAGTCATCGAGTCTCAATATTAGTCAGTTATAAAAACAATAAAATATTCATTACTTTTCTTCAAACATTACAAAACACCTCGACGTCGCTTTCGCCGTGGTTTCAACCTGTGAGCGTTGAGAGCGATCTTTGCAATGGTCACATTTCCACCGCTCTGCGCGCAGGCGAATTAATCAACGCTTTATTTGCGAAGGAGCAATGTATGCGGAATAAGTTAGAAGTCCGCAAAACAGCATTGTAGTAGTACATCGGTCATAAATACCTAACGGTAGAGGCACGAGGCGCTCGAAGATAATTTTCGCCCACAACGTTTCCGTAACTTTGTTTTATTAAATACACTGTTATTTAGTTATTTAATGCAAGTTCGTAGGCACCTCTTATCGAATTGTGTTATGTTACTGCTAGCCGATGACCATGTAAACTTAACTAATTATCTTAAGTTACATCACAATATCAGCATTTAATTAAAATGTAGCTAGCTCTACTACTTATTGTTTTAATAACCAAAGTGTGTAATTAATTTGGATGAAGAGCTAAATATTAAATGCGATCTCGATTAAAAACAGAATAATTGCAGCTAAGTTTGACTTGTAATTTCATAAACATCGAAAGTAATGTTTGAAAAAATAAAGAAATGTTGTATTGATTATTTAATGATGTTGATATCGGGGATGATGTAATCATCATCATCCGCGGAACACGTTCTCCAAGCACCGTTACTCGATACAGTGCTGGAGCATATTGTCCCAGCACCACGGCACGGCGCTCGTCCACTTACATATGCATAGCCTACAATTACCATAATCTCGAGAGCAGGCTGAATATCAAAACAGTTTTATAAACGTCAACACAGTCAAGACCAAAAGCACTGAATTCATTTTAACTGGTAACCCAAAATTTGGCAAAAAGCGAGTCGTTTGAATGAGACTACATTACCCTCACAAGCTACTTGAAATACCGTGTTCAGACACTTGACAGCTTCAGGACGTTACAGCTGATTCGTAACGCTAACATGTCAATGTAAATAAGTTACTTGTCATTGTCAGTAAGTGACAGTCGTCTGTCGGTCCACACACCGCGCGCCGGGTAACACCTCCTGAACCGTATGACATGGACCCAACAGACGAGCGGCAATAGTGCAGTACCGAACGCTGTGTGGTAACATTCGCATAACAAGTATGACGTGCTGTCGGCGTTTACGCATGCAGCAGTGATAACATGTATAAACACAACACACCTTGTTTCGGCAGCGGCGGCGGCGCTTGCTCTTTGCTTTCGAAGAACGTGAGTGCGAAATTGTCGCCTGTCTCTATGGCGAGGGGCGGCGATGCGCGCACGCACGACGCGGGTCGGCCGCTCCACACGTCCATATTCCAATCATGTCCGGCGTGCTTCGGCTGTCGTCGGCTCGCGTCCGCCGGCCCTCGATACGACCCGCGCACTGAGCTTTCTCGAGCTTGACTGCTTGTGCCTTCGGAATAAGTGGACGCTGCCGGCGCCCGCGCACCGCACCGCTAAACGGAGCAGTGAGAGTTTTTTTGAATTCGGTATGGTGTGGTTTTTACAGCCACAACATAAATAAAATGTACTCACACTTGTTATGATAGCAATAGCTAAGCTCCACTGCTCCTAGCTCGCCAGTGTTAGGGTCGGACTTAATACAACTCACAAGCGAATTAAATCACAAGACTAAAGTTATTGAGTCAACATATTGCTAGAGTTTCAACAAGGACCGGCAAAGTGAAGATCCCTAATGGTGGAACATCTTCATTTCAAACTATGAATCCCCATTCATTCTTTATTTCATGAAGATATATTATAATTATAGAGGCATTACAAAAAGGCTAAGTTATCAAATATATACATAGGTAGGTCATACCGGGTCTTGGAATGACGAAGGCACCAGATTGTGCTTAACCCAACACCCAACACTGACAAAACAAGTGCGGCATAGGGTTCGCTGGCACTCGAATATCAAAACTTGGACCACGAGAATACACGATGAAATTGTAAATATAAACAATTAAATATCCTAAATACTATAACTGAGAACTGTATCTAAACATTCCTACATGGTAAAGAGCTTATAATTATTTGTTTTTGATTACGAGATCATACACTCTCATGCTAGTATTTTCTTCTGAGTCATGGGCATAATTAAAAATTAACACACCCAGACTTGGAATAACAATATGTCACACAAATCACGTGCGGAAATGTTACCTATTGTGCAGTCACCGGTTGCCCAACCGCGAGTGGGAACGTTCCCATATTGTACCAGTATCCTCTCAAACTGTGCAAAAGTTTCCAGTCCCAATCACTGAACAGAAAAAAGGAATGCCTTTCCCTTTTTACGAAGTCTAATTTTATCTTATTCACGCAAGTCAAGACTGTTTCTATCTCATTCAATAAAAATATTCCTGCCAGCCATACATGTTGCAAAATAAGATGGAAATCACTTAAAATATTCCAGTAACGGTAAAAGTGTAGGTACCTTATTGTAGATGGCTATTTATCACCGTATAGAAAAGTCCGTGAGTGCTACTGCACTTAATGCTATCCTCGGTTCCCTGGTCCGGCGTCACCGTGTCTATGGTCTACACTTGACCGATTTCCAAAAACATTAGTCCAACTTACTAAACATGAATAAGTTATATATTCAGTTATTTAAACTTGATGTGTCACGTATCTAGTTTGAATATATTTAATTCGGTTTGTGACGGACGTATACGTAATAATTTTGAGTATTATAATATTATGATTTCAATAAAAATCATAAAATATGAAATGAGTAAGGATTGAAATCAAATCCATGGTAAGATAATGTGGCTAGGTACCTAGTAGGAAGGTATCCATGTGTCTAATAAGCGGATCTCAGCCTTCTCAGAGATGGAGTTGTAGTGTGAGTAGGTACTACACTATTAAATGTGATTTTAACTCAAAGACGTAAATGTAAATAAGACGTACAATATACCAACACAAACACCATTACAAAATAATGAGTAAAATTCAGTACAAGTAGTCTAGACTTCGCGTCAGTTTTCCCGAGCGTCAAAGCCGATTTAGGTGCATTCAAATATTTGAAACAAGATACTGATGAAAGTCAGAAAGCAAAGGAATTTAATAATGAGTACTAAGTACTTTGGTAATGCTTCATCTTCCACTCGCTCGATCAGAAACAATGAGCCTGCAACTTCACAAGCAGAGTTGGTTGATAGCTAATTAATCCTTTCCTTGGTACTGTTAAAGCTCCGTGAGCTTTAGAGTAAAATTTATCGCAAACAGCGAGCATACCTGTGCAACTTTAACATTGCGAGTAAGCCGCTTAGGCACATTGTTTACACATTATAGGTTGTAAGTAGGCACCCGGGCCAGGTGAGTGGAATATTCACTCGAACTCCCTGAGCTCTTGCATTGTTCCCAATTTCCGTTACAATTTACCCCCTTCCACGTGTCGGGAGTATGCATCTGCGGAACTTCATATTCCTGTTGTTTTGGTCTCAGAATAACACCTCCCTGGAAAAGTCTATGGAGGGGACTCAGACGTGAGCGCAGACCTTTTACAAATATTTTATTTAACTTCCATGAAACATTTGTCTATTGTGCTCCATAACAGGATTTTATGAAAGCTTGAGCAGATTTATTTCAAAGTATGAAATGTTTCTGTCTACCCTTTGTCGAATTTTTTTGTTTTATTTTAGCTCCGTCGTCGCGTCGTTGTCAAGCTCTTATTCAATTTGTTTCGCTGTACCTGTCTATGTACGTCCCGGGCGAAGCTCTCTGATGTTTAACCCCATTAAACTACTAGTGAATATAAATAATAATGCTTACTTATGTGGAACACAGAATTAATAGCTCAGGTATAGTAACTTTTAATAACACACAGATAACTACATAATAATATACATATGTTGACGAATAATTGTGATTCTAAGCATATGATGAGCCTCCTGAAATATGTAGTTTGTGTCTAAAGGAACTCACACTTGCCAACATGTGAATTGTAATTCAGATTTTTGTGTTATAAAAGTAGGTACAAGCTTATTATAACCAATGAGAGTATTGTGGCACTGTACCACGCCATAATATTCTGCAGCGTTTACTTCGACAGAAGAAAGGCGTGAGTTTTCTGACGTTTTCTTCATAATCGTATCTAGCCGTTCTATCGCCTCACACACAAGCAAACTGCCGATGAGTAGAGCCCTGCAATAAACTACAAATACTTGGTGCTGGTCAGGTTAGATGAGTATTTAAATGCACGGTGGTACACTGGTACATTATATACTGTATCCCTGCAGCACTGCCTTCGATTCCATCACTATAAATAACATTCCCACCGCGCTGCGCCAGCGCAAACTAGGTAGCGATTGCGTGTTACAAGTCGTACGTACAATAATTCTGATTTAAAGCATCACTGATAAATCAAACGCTGGGGGAGACGGAGTGTCTGCTTTTTGCCTAGTTAATCACCAAGTCACCATCTTTCCCTCGGATTAGTTGTCGTAAAATCTAATAAGAGAATATTGTGAGCGCGCGGAGCGGCGAATGCATCGCAAAAACTGCAACACTAGGGATGAGCTATCGACAGGTAATCGATTGCCGAATGTAATCGATTTATATATTGATACCCTTTCTATATTTTTGTATTTGCATTTATTTCAAACCACACAGTTATGTACAGTTGACCATACAGCCAATGAACAAGGTAGGCCGATTTAGAGCCGTCGCGAAGGACACACCGGGCGTCGGGGATCGCGGGACGATCTCCGGCCACCGTAAGCGCGGGCCTGCGGACGGCGAGCATGGGTGGCTCCCCGTCCGACCAGAAACAGACCCGAGCGTACGGCGCGTCGCGTTCCGCGCGCGCCTCAAAGAGCCATCAGACCACCACAGATGGGGCCCAATAGGGCCGATGCCGATTCGGAGTCGCGGAGAACCTAACGGGTAACCGGGGCTCCGGCTCGACGTGCAGGAGAAGGAACGGGGTGGTTTTTAGTCAGTAAGAGTCTGACACTCCCTCCCGCCTCACCCAGGCGGGGGCAGTCATTCGATGATTTTCCCCCCTTAAAAAAAAAAATAAAAAAAAAAGGCCGATTTAGAACGTAATAAATAAGTTAAATTGTGTGTAAGAATATTTTGTTGTTTGTTGCTTAAACAGCAATAAAGTAACTACGTAAAGAAACTGAAAGTGCGTCGTATGCAAGTTGATAATACCTACAGCTACGTACTAGGTAGGAACATTCTCTCACTGCAAAATAGCCGCCGATTTGCCAGTGATTAGGACAACGATAAAGTTTTAGAAGCTTAGAAACTATTAGTACAACACATGCACTATGTGAATTGAATAAAACAACATTCCCTTAATAAAATAAGATCAAATAAAAATAATACAATTATAAGATTGAAACTGAAAACACGAGTATTTACGTTTTAAGCTTTAATTGAATCCATTATAAGTAGGTAGGGTAATTTCGTTGCTATTTGTAATGAAAAGTGAAATATATAATTTTATGTTCCTGCATGATGTTTTTATTATAAAATATAACCAATGGGGACAAAAAATAAGTATAATATAACAATAATTTAAAAACATAAACATTTAGATTTTTTGCAAAACACATCACTAGCAGCTGAACGTTGCGGCGCAGGAAGCAAATCTTTGCTCGGGTCGCTGAACCAGGTATTGCTGTTAGAAATCCACGAGCAAACCAATATACACTTTAAACATTACTCATTACGAACGAGTCTCCCGCAACAGACAGAGATGTGAGTGTTAGCATCTAATCAAACATGTTTGTAAATACCGTTAATACAATGTGTAACTTAACTTGAAGTGTTAAAGTTGATATTTCACTGAAGGATGGCGTTAGAAGGTTTTGCAAAGTAGTGCCATTAGCAGATAGGCCTGGCTGTCTCACAAGATTTGCTGATAACCGGGTTTAACTCCTGAATTAGTACTGGCATAGGTGCCTTAACCTTTGCCGGTTATCACTACCGCATGGCACGTCGTCGCGGCGTATGATAAACACATATACATCGATCTGTTATAGTATAAAAATTAATCCCAATTTCCGTAGGTAGGTCAGCGCATCAGACCTGAGCGTCTAATGACGACGAATGACTCTAATCGATATCGTTAACTATTTATTAAGGAAATTGTAATATGTGGAACATATTGGGAATACTGCCAAGAATATAGAATAATATCAAATGCCTTTCGATACCGCGATGGTCCGAACAAGTCCGAAGTAAGTAGATTTTTTTAAATAAACTAATTAATTACACCAAGTAAGTTGGAAATGAACGGTCGCTCAAATTAGAGGCGGGACTAAAATATTATAAAGCAAGTAGTCGTAGATTTTATACCTCATACTTGTTACGTAATAAAGTCTACTAAATAAGGTTCAAATACACATAAGTTTGCCACCAACATAAAGTTTGTCGT